TTTCCCCTCACAAGGTCCTCCCTCCCCGTCCTACTCACGTCGGCCCTTCCCACATGGAAGTTGACGTTCGCAGGAAGCATTCATTAGGCTCTCCCTCGTTGCTTCCATCGGCAGTCCCGCATTCTACCCCCCTCCTGCCGGTGGACTCTGATGCGACCTTGGGGAAGCGTTCCCAGTTGCCAAGACGGGGTTCGCATACATCAGTGTGGGAGAGCCTGCAACATCTTCGCAAATTTGCGCCGGACGATGCTGCGACGAAGTCTGCCATTGCGGAGGATCCTTCGCCTCATCGCAGTCTTCTTTCCGCTTCTCTAAACGATGCTTCCTTGGCGACGTCCCATGCCGCAACACGCTCTCCTACTAAAAAATCTCCGGCTACCAACATCGAAGTCATTTCTCAGCCATGGTCCGGGCAACAAATCCAGGACGGCGCGCGTGTGATGAAACCCGAGCGAAGCTCGAGTCGGGGCCGCCGGGCCAGAGTAGAGCAGTCTATCGAAGCAAACCTGGCCAATGCGGAGCCGACCTCTCATGTGCGCAGCCGCAAGTCAAGCCACTACTTGGGCCTGTTCAAAGAGAACACCACATCGCCCGATCGTAAACGCAAGGAAGAGCGCGCGGGTCGACTCGATGAGCTGCCAGAACCACACGACAAGCAGCAATTGACGGCTCATTCAGAACCTCGCTACTCCGGCGAACGCCGTGACTCGAATTTGCATATCACGCCCGTGTCTGAGGATACGGGGTTGACAGGTTCCAAGAGCCTTACACATCTTTCTATTGCTGACGCTCCCCTGTTCACGCCAGGCGCCGAAAGCGAAACTGGACCGCAGATGCCAACGGACAATGTGGTTAAATCCCAGCCTAGGGCCTTACCTCGCAGTTTGCTCGAGGAGATTCGCAACTTCCATCTCACTCCCGGGGGAGGTCATGGCACCTCGTTTTCACGGAGCATCCCAACGCAATATGCGGAGAGAAACCGAGATTACTTCTCCAAGGCACCCGAATTGCATGACCATGTCGAGTCACGTCTTTCTCCATCGGACGCGAGCAGAGAGCAACGCCGTGGTTCGGGGCAGTTCGAGGAAGAGGAAGATGAGCAAATTTCGTCTGCTGTCTATTTCCCACACGAGCGCGTCACTCTCTCTGAGGAAGTCGATCAGGTTCAACCTTTCACAGATGGCCAAGATAGCGTGGAACCCGTTGATATCTCGACAGCGCAGAGTAGTCACGTTTTGGTGCCAAAGAGACAAGTCGTTCCTGAGGAGCAAGAAGCTAATCATGTGGACATATCCCTTCGATCTAAGAAAGATAGTAGAATCCTACACGGCGACCTGCAAGGCAGGCAGGATGCTCCCATAGACAAACTTAATGAAGAGTCTCTTCGTTCCATCCCCGAGCGCCCTGCTGAATATTCAACAGAGTCCGAACCCGCGTCTGCCGACGAGAGCGGCATGTCTGTTCGTGATGAAGAGTCCAGCGTGACGGATGAGGCTGAGGTGACGCCGACGGCCACCCCGACTCAGCGCTCCCGTCTGACCCGTCCGCGTCACAAGCATGAACCGGCTGGACCGCTTGGGGCTGTGGAGTTGAAGCCTTATCGCCATCAGGTCGGGGGTCATACAACCGTTTTCCGGTTTTCCCGTCGCGCTGTTTGCAAGCAACTCAACAACCGGGAAAACGAGTTTTATGAGCGCATCGAGCGCAGGCATCCTGAGATGCTGATGTTTCTGCCTAGGTACGTATGGCGGTGAAGCAGTTTGCCTGCAGGGCTGGTTCAATCAGATTTTGTCTAACTTGTCCTCCAGATACATTGGCGTTCTGAATGTCACCTTTTCAAAAACTCCCAAGCGATCCAAGACCCCAGCGAGCCACACGGAACGCCCTGATAGTAGCAATGTGATACATTCTGCTAACAATGCGGACAATGATGCAGTGGCAGCCGCAGATGCCCGCAGCCCTACAAAGAATGACGCCGAACCGCAACGCATCTTCAGCCAGAAGCAGGTGACCGGCATAATTCCCCAAGTCATTCTCGAGAACAATCGTCATATAATCCCAGCCGATCTTTTCTCCCGCGGCCAGCGCCCAAGGACTGCTGACGGATCTTTATCAGCTAATAGGCGCTTCCCCGGGGATTTCGGGCAGTTGCGAGACGAAGAGGCTCAGAGCTGCCTTTTGGATGGGTCACAGACCCTGAAGAAAAAGCAATGGGGTGCCACCACTGTGAACAGGAAGCTGCAAGAGCAAGTTCTGCGTGAAGTCTTCAGTCCACCTGCCGTGCACCATCACCGTCGCCATGCTCGAGGCCATCTCAATTTACCGAGGACGTCATCAGATGGCATTGAAATCCGGCGGAGGGCCAATTTATCGGAAGACCATACGGCCAGCAGCCGCAGGACTATACCTGAAGAACCTGACTCCACACAGTCCGGGGCAATCGATATCAATAGGCAGACAAGTGACGGACCGGGTCTGTCATCTTCAGCATCGACAGCACTGGATGCGGGCCACAATCGTCTCGAGAAAGTGCGGACCGAAGAGTCTCCCCAACGTTCCAGCTCGTTATCCAGGACTCGGCAGGTGAGGCGGCGCCGATCTGGGAGCGGGTTGCAAAGACGAGGAAGCATGACTTCTGGGCAGCCGGGAGGCGATCTGCTGTTTTTTGATGATGAAGGTTACGGGGGTGATAAGGAAGATGGGATATTCTCAATGGAGGGCGATAATCCGGTCCCTCCACCATCCCATCCTGCCACGAATTCTTCAATCCCAGTAGCCCCCAAAGTTCCAGGAGCGGACTCTGTGCAGCTTGATGGCCGCGTGGGTAACAATGTCCTCTCCCGGTCTCCAGTCCGACCCAGCACCAATAATGTCGATGATGCGCAACTTCCTTCAAACCCCAAAGAGGCCCAGACCAGGAAAGACGATCGAGTGCAATTCTTTCTCTTGCTGGAAGATCTTACTGCGGGCATGAACAAACCATGTGTTTTGGACCTCAAGATGGGGACTCGCCAGTATGGAATCGAGGCCAATGAGAAGAAACGCAAGTCACAGAGACGCAAGTGCCAGTCAACGACGTCCCAGCAATTAGGCGTTCGTCTATGCGGCATGCAATCGTGGAATGTTAAAAAGCGAGAGTACTCCTTTGAGGACAAATACTTTGGACGAGACTTGAAATCGGGGCGCGAATTCCAGGATGCTCTTACTCGCTTTCTCTACGATGGTGCAAGTTACAGAAGTGTGGCGAAAAAGATACCCGCCATTCTCGAAAAGCTGGCCAAGCTGGAAAACATGATTCGGAAGCTCAAGCGCTATCGCTTGTATGCCAGCAGTCTTCTGATTCTTTACGATGGAGACCCCCATAATCTCGATAAATCATCTCAAAACAATGGCCCCTCCGGGTCGGCCAATATGCGAGACACTCTACAACGCCAGGTTTCAGATGATGGGTACTCGGACGTGCAGTTGAAGATAGTTGATTTCGCTAATTGCGTTACGGGCGAGGATGAAATATCGCCTGATGCTCCCTGCCCTCCACAGCATCCAGATGATATTGATCGTGGCTATCTTCGGGGCCTACGAACCCTTAGGATGTACTTCCAGCGCATCTTGAAACAGATCACCGAAGATGATTACGTTGAAAGAGGCGAAGGGGAAGCGATTGCGCTTGGCTCCCAGCACGCCAGCCGCGATGATTCATCTCAGCGCTATTGGGACGAAAATGTACTGGAGACTGACCCTGGCGAGGTTAGCTTCTAGATCCAGGTTCCTTCAATCTCTGACGGTCGGAACTCAGTGCGCCGTTGTATTCTGTTTTATCCCTGCCTTCACTCCTTTTCGATCCTCGGGCTTTCGAGCCGGAGGGACCGGGATTGCTTTGTCCCTAATGTCCACATGGCAAGTTCTTCTCGCATTCACGGGATGTGGCATCCAACTTGCATACCAACCAAACACAGCTGGCTTTGGCCCTTCCCATCTCGCGGTGCCATCGCTATACCCACGCTGAATAATTTTAACCGATTACGATGACGGGGGTAGATGGGTGACATTACAACTTGTTTTTCGGCAACATACATTACGATATTGACGAACGATCATGGCATGATGCTCACCACAGACACCTTACTATCCGTGCCGGGCGCATAATAGAAGGTCTCTGCTTGGGGGCCACTACATTCTCATGGCGTGTATGAAACTGATTTTCTTTTTTTTGATTTGGCCTGGCCCCCGCAAGGGTGCGCCGGTCTTGCTTCCTTCAAGCTTTTTATTCTTTCTCGGACATGTGTTACTGATTATACCTCCTGGGGACTGGTCCGATACCCGGGGACTTTTTAATCTGTGCTTTTCCCAGCTTCTTTCCACAGAGTGTTGTTCGGTAGTTGTGTTTTGTGTGTACATACCTATAGGCGCTGAGCTTAGAACGGGGACAGGAGAATTGAATATCTATAATGGTTAATAAGAGTTCAGCCGTAGACTGCAAAGTGACAAACCAGCATAACGATGCTACAGTGTATGTGTGCTGCCCAAGGCCTTCAGGCATCAAGCCACGTGATAGCGGCGATAAGCGGTGTGGTTATCGCCTCACGGCTTATTATCTAATCGCAGCTTGGCTCATCGCCTCGTCAGTCACTCAGTCAGCAGCCCATCTCCGCATTCCCTTCTCCTCACGCTTCTCAGGGGCTTGCTGGTTCCCAGTTTCGATGTCTGGGAGGTCCTATTTGATGTGTTGAAGGCCTAGGGTACTTCTGTCTCTCCCTTATACTCGCGTTGATTCATCTTTCTGGTTTGCTGCCTTCTGATTTCCGTTTGCGGAGGGCTAGTTTGCGGAGAACTCACAGGCAGGCCCATCTTGCCAGGCACACTGTTATCTTTCCCCTGGTCGGACCCGAAACACGTTACCCAGGCAGCTATTGCCCGCTTCATGCCCTCGAAGGATTTATAATCTGTGAAAAGTCGTCCTCATCCAGATCGCGCTATCACTATTCAAAAAGGGAGACACTATGACGCCATCCCGTGATAAGCAAGACCCAGCTATCGACAAGCGGGACTTTGATGCTCATCGCCCGTTACTAGATGATGCAGATGCTGAGGCGGATGAGCAGCAGCGAGGACACCTACGGTCACGGGCAGGGTCATGTTTATCGGCCACCAACAATGACGATGGTCTCCTAAATGATGTTGTCGACGAGATCTTAGAAAGGGATAGAAAGAAAATGGCCAAGGAAGTGGTGCGGGTTAGCAGTTTTGCTTGGGGCGTTATCAGCTGGTAAGATCTCTTGTGCGTGTAGGATGCGCTGATCACATCCTCGTTGGATAACTGGCTAATCGGAATTGTGGTCATCAGTCTTGGAGCTGGTAGCATTACCGCATTCTCGCTATACGGACCCCTGTTGCTCACTCGCCTCCACTACACTCAACTCCGTGTCAATGCTGTTGCGATCGCCGCAGAAGTCTCGATGTACCTACCTGTTCCGCTTTTTGGATATCTATGCGATCGGTACAGCCCATCTCCGCTCGCTTTATTCTCTGGTTTCGTGTTTGGGGCTGGCTACCTTCTGGCTGCACTGGCCTTTAAGAGTGGACCGCCTCCTGATGCAGGTGGCGAGGGCTGGCCGTTTTGGGTGATGATCGTGGCTTTCATTGCCATTGGCGTTGCTACAAGTTGTATGTACTTGGCTGCCGTCGCAACATGTGCCAAGAACTTTGGCAGGGGTAAGCATAAGGGTATTATGCTTGCTGTTCCTATCGCGGGGTTTGGCCTTAGTGGCATGTGGCAGAGCCAGGTGGGAACGTACTTCCTGTGTGACCGACTTGAAGATGGTGCTCGTGGCGACGTCAACGTGTACAAATACTTCTTATTCCTCGCGATCCTGTTATTCTGCATTGGTGTGATTGGCACCTTTGCTCTGAGGATCGTGGATGAGAACGAAGAAAAGTACATTGATGAGGCAGTAGAGGAATTAGAGCGGAGTGGCCTTCTTGAAGAGAGCGAGTTCTTCCGGCCCAGGAGCGAAGTCCAGGCTGCTTATGGAACGTTTTCGCAGGCCGACGACGGCACCGGATCCGACGGTGACCAAACTCTGACACTCTCAGAAGAGGAGCGAGAAGCAGCAAGACTTGAGAAGGAAAGGGAGGAAGAAGAGCGTCGGAAGAAGAACTGGCTGCTGAACTATGAGACGAGGATCTTCCTCCAGGACAAGTCAATGTGGTGGCTTGCGATTGGCTTCTTCCTGGTCACTGGACCAGGAGAGGCATATATCAATAACGTATGTTGCGTCCAATATACTGTTTTGTTTTAAGCTGACTGAGTCGCTCTCTAGCTGGGCACTATTGTCCAATCCCTGACTCCCGTATCAAATATTACAAACGCCTCGTCACCTGCAGGCCTACCATCAACCCATGTCAGCACCATCGCGCTGACCTCCACCATTGCCCGACTTCTCACCGGCTCGCTCTCCGATCTTTTCGCCCCGCCAGCAACCCATCTCTTCCCCGGTCCTTTAGAAAGTAGTCGCCCTGCCTCCATCACATCGGCGACCAACCGCACCACCTTCACCCGTCTTGCATTCCTTCTCCCCTCCGCCTTCCTTCTCTCCATCGGCTACCTTCTTCTCTCCTCCCCTATCCCCCTCCAATACCCCGGCTTCACCCACCTCACCACGGCCCTGATAGGTCTCGGCTACGGCAGTGCCTTCTCCCTCGTTCCCATTATCATCTCCGTCGTCTGGGGCGTCGAAAACTTCGCCACCAACTGGGGTATCGTTGCCATGGTTCCAGCCGCTGGAGCAGCCGTCTGGGGTTTAGTGTATTCGCAAGGATACCAGGACGCCATGGACGACGGAAACGGCACAAATGACGGCCAATGTCATGGCTGGAGGTGCTTTGGGTTCTGGGCCGTGGGGTGTACGGTAAGCGTCTGGATAGCTATTGGGGCTTGGTTGATCGCGTGGAAGTATTGGAGACGGCGAGGCGTTGTTGTTTAATTCTTATAGAAACTGTCTTTCCCTCAAATTACCACGGTTTTGTGTATATTTTGAAGCTACGTTGGTGTTTCGCGTTATATTAGCCGCTCGCTGCATTTTATTTCTCCTTTCTTTTTTTTCGTGCCTCACTTGGAGCGGAGCAACTTACCCCCTAGAGGGTAGTATTGGTTTTCACATCCGCTGATTGATGTTCCATGCTGCTATTGCTATTTTAGCGGTCTCGGGTCATTCGTTTTACCACACCATACCACACTACACGCGTCTATCGGGCTACTAGAATGTCGTTTCATCATCTATCTATCTATACTATACTATATATGCAATGCAGAGCATGCATGGCTTTGAGCTGGAATTGATTGAATGAGTGTTCCTATTGGTTTAGTCTATCAATCAATAACAGGCATCGTGCACTTCATTACGTCAAAGATCGCTTCATTCTTGAACTCTATACTAAGCTCAGTGTGAATGTACTGGCTGATCTATCGATCCTAGCGTGGTGAGATAATGCAAACCATATAATACATCAAGTAGGTGACAGAACAAGTAATGTTCTTTCATGGTGGAGAAAACAACATCTTCAACGTAATCAGAGGCAAGACTAGATGTACCGTATAATGAATGTTTACATAGTGATATAGTTATTTGTAATATAATACCCTCACTCATGATTGCCCCGCAACGATGTCGATATAGCAGAGAGAAAAGAGAGGGTATGAAGAAGAGAAGTTCCTTTCTATTATCTTAAGTGTATCATATATTGCGTTCATTCGATGCTCCGCTTGATACAACTAACGTAGCGTGCTAGCTCTCCATCATGTCGTACGAGGCTGCGGATTATGGTCAGTTTTGGGTGTAACACGAGAAAGTAGGAATTCTTTATGAGTCAGTACGTACGTACGCTTAAGACAATATATAACAGTTTTGAAAGACTGTTCTTGGTGGTGTTTTGTCTGTCATGCGGGTTTAATGATGCTGAAGTAACACGATAAGGTGGTGTGGACACTGTTGACGTGGAATGGAAATGTGTAATTGCGGAGCTTGTTCTCCATGAACTCCCATATTGCCTGTTGGATGGTCGTTCGTACTTGATTATTGATGGGTATAGCCTCTCGATAGTGTATGTGGAAAGATGCATAGGATAGAAACTGGCATGCACGGGTGAACGACGTAGGGTGTAGTGTGGACGGAATGGAAGGGTGAAGCTGAGAGTACATCGGGGGTTGGTCTCTTCAGATGGCTTCAGGCTTTCTCTCTCGTGACTGATTGTACGGCAAATCAGGGTTGTAGACATTTTGCCCAGACTATACCTCGCAATTCTCGTTTGAGCCTTGCGTATAGCTTTTTCTCGTTCATTAGGGATTTTGGTGGATTTAAGTCGGTGCATCTGGTCTGATAGGACGGAGAGGAGGCTTGGGTTAAGTTTAGAGATGGGGCAGCTTTGAAGTAATGCTCAAAGAGGGCGTGGGCTTCATTGAGTCAGTCGAATCGAGGATGGTATATCGTCCATGGGTTGATCGATACTCTCCAGATCGTCTCCACATCAATTGGGAGTTCAATCCGGCGGGTTGCAAAGTTGTTGTCCGCACAAGACCTCCAGCAAACAGACAGCAACTGATTAATTGTCAGTCTCCGCTTCCAGTCATTAACAGACTTCAGACGCAGCATATCCAATCAATACCCTCGGGGGTCTGCCGATGTCCGGGAAATATCGCCTTCTTCTCTTTGTAATGCCAGTGCCTTTGATCTTGGCTTTCGGGGGCGTCACGTCTGTAGATTTCGATCATTTCACGACTGTCTTTCGGATCTCTTCTGACGTAGTTTTGCGACTTTTTCCATCACTAATAGCAGACACACTAGAAGAGGTATGGAGAAGCCCTGTAGAAGCCCCACCGCGACTGGTTGTCTTCGTTGTCATGAATTTGAATTGCACAGATCATCTCATCCATCCATCCAACGAGCGTATACACCGCATGGGCATTGACCACGAACAGACAGATTGGCTGTAGCTGGTCATGCTTTCGATGTATATTGCTTCGGTCTTCCGTTGAGCCTTTTGAGCTAGGCCAATTGATAGCAAGTGAGCCCGTAATATCGTAGAATACCAGCATTAAGAACGTGATGTTCAGTGGGTAAATGTGGTGTATCAGGCAGTTCTCTTCAGGATCCTCTTTATCCAAGAGCATCGTCCTCGTTCACCGCATCACTCATGATTGTGGATGGGGTGCTCTAAGTGACAAGATTGTATCGCCAGTGTCTGCTTTCGAGCACGGCCCCTCTCGCACCAAAGCAAATTGTCGAACGAGTGGTGATGTAGTTTCTTTTCTGTGAGTTGTTCATACCGCGTGCAGTCCATTGTGACTGCAGTGGTATTTCGATGGTATAGTAGCCCCATGATCCGATTCGATTCGGGCATCTCCGTATCCTACTCGCGGTGTGGTGCAGCTCATGTATTCCAGCCATCTATCAGCTTTGAGACAGAATAATTAGCAAGGATGGTCTCAATATAGGGCAACGTAAGGAAGGACGTACTAACTCCACTCGATATACTTCCCAGTTCCCCAGCGCACGCCACGTTCGGCACAATTCCACAAGAGGCACAATAAACCTGGTGCTGGTGAGTATATCCCTCCTATCCAGCAGTATGTGACTCTCTGCCCCTCACCACCATCATCATGATATGATAGGGTAATGTCCTTTGTATGCAACTGTATAGATACATTAGGACCGAGTTCCACTACCAGGCGCATGGGGACGTTATTAAATCGTCTCTTATAGTTGACCGAATGGTTACATTCGATGTAGGTTCTCTGGCGCTGAGGGTCAACTACCTGAGACAGCACTGCCTCTATACTTACGCTGTTCCGATCAGTCTCGAGCACAGGCGGTGCTAGAGTGGTCAAGCGGGTGCCATTCACAGTGGTTCTGCTATCCCTGGATGGCCCACAATCACAGCGTCCATAGAGTACACCCCATCACGTGTGGCAGATAGAACCACGACCAGAATCCATAAGAGAGGGATTACCACTTGACTTCATCAGCAGTTGATCCCGAGTTTATCCCTTTGCGTGCAGAGCCGAATCGCCGTATTCCCCATACGACATTTGACAGCCCCGTCGTGTGACAGTCTCCACCCCATTGCTTTCAGGATGAACCCACGTCCATGAGCATATGTTCTTCGGGCTGGTCAATATAGACTGAAATAGAGAAAATAGTTGGTCTTTGTTCTCTCTAATGGGATTGTGAGGGGACATGGATGCAATCGAGTAGGAAGGTGAGGAGGCATTCTCAGAGGTCCATTGAGTAGGGTGAGTCAGAAGGTTGAACGAAAGGCGCTGAAGGAATGAAGACGATAGGTAGGAGTGAGAATGGAAGAAGAGAGGACATGAAAACTGAGAGACACTATATATTGAGTATATTGGATATGTATATAGGGAGACAGAAATGAATATAGGTGAAAGTGATGAAAGAAGGGCACTTTGCAGATAGGAAGACGGTAGGAAAAGGATGAAGAGGAAGAGAGGGGAGGGAGGGAAATAAGTAGTCGGAGGAGGGTAATGCTGACAACATGTGACATGGAGGTATCTCGAGTACAAGATGCAGAGTGGTCCAGGATGAGGTGAAACGCGGGAAGTAGGAAGAGGGATGGATTGGCTAGACCTCCCGTATCCAGATGGTTATGTGGACTTGAGTTGTACAACCACCCAAGAATTATCATTCAACATTAGGTATCCATACAGATAGATAGAAAGTACAGTCCAGGCAGCAGCTGAAGTAGGTAGTAGTACAACAAACATTGCTGGTACATCAAGTGACAGTGTTACCAATTTGGAACTTTTCAGAAGTAATCATGGAGCGCAGTGGTGTTAGACCAACTTAACGCTTTACCCATTCGCTGTCCTCCTCCAGCCACGCTTCAAAGTTCTTCAGGCCAGGATGCGTCTTCCTTAGACCTTGAATATCAGCCCCATAGCCGTGATCGTAGAACCAGTTGAACATAATCCGCAGATCAGCGACCATCCACATCAATAAGTAACAAACCACCCGGTAGGTGGTTGGCATTGTCTCCCCCGTCTTCGCCTTGAACTTCTTCTGCATTTGTTCAAATGTCAGGTCATCTCCGGCGAGAGAGATACACTGGTTCTTGTAGTTTTGTGGCTCGAGGAGAGCCTTGGCTGCAAACACCCCGATATCGCTGACCGCAACACACTGCAGCGGTTTGCCCTGCAGGTAGGCATCCCAGGCCGTGGTAATCACCTTGCCTATGAAGCTGGGGACAAGGTTTTCGAAAAAGAACACCGGACGGAGGACAGTCCAGGTCATGGAACCATCCTTGGTTTGCTCAAACAGATGGTGTTCGATGTGATGTTTGCTGATGAAATGAGGAATATTGGTTGGGTTATCGGTGGAGGCATCACCACCGCGATCGACGGAGCTGTAGACGAAATGTCTGATGTCTTGCTTGATGGATTCATCGATCAAGGCTTTCCCTTGAATTTCTTCTTTGTCTACATTTTGACCTTTTGCCATAGGATTCTGTCATGCGTTAATTTATCCTGCAAGTAGGTGAAAGTAAAGGTACATAGCTGAATACTACCTGAACACTAAAGACACCAGCAATGGGCCGAGTGGCGAGTTTCTTCGCGTTTTCGAAGATCTCGGACGGATGATCAAGGTCGCCCTGAACTAGCTTAATTTTGGGAGACTTGCTGGCAAGCTTCTGCGATGTTCCTGACTGCGGGTTGCGGGTCACGGCGAGGATCTCAACGTCTGCATCGCGCGCCAGCAGAGCATTGATGACCGCACCACCTTGGTTGCCAGTGGCTCCAGTGATGAGTAGAGCGGTAGCCATGATTGATAGGATGTATCAGAGTAATTATTCACAACGTTCAATCATCCAGGGGTAGGATAGTAGACAATAGCTGAAGACAGCATCTATGGCGATGCGCATTAAGGCCGGTCGATCTCCCGAATCTGTCATGTTGAGGTCATTGGGTGGCCGCACCCGGAAATGCCTTGCGCACCTGACCAATAAGGCCACCAATAACAAATTACTAAGTAAAAAAGTCTGAACAATTGGCTGGTTGCAATGATCTGAGTCATGATAGGGTCACTCAGTTTCTTTTCCCTTCTTCTTCTTCTTCACCCATTCTTGGGTCCGACTGAGAACTACACAAAAGCCAGTCCAATCCGGCAATGAGGGCCAGTTACGCAAGGCTGCAGGAAAAACCGTAATATTACCATACCGCCCCACCTGCAAGACAGAAAGAAAAAAGAAGAAAAGAAAAGAAATGAAAATGAAAATGAGACCAAAAAAGAAGGTTGAGGGATATAATCATAACCAGCAGCAATGATGCTAATGCCCAGACATTCAAACGCATCGAATTTTCAAGGCAAAAGTTGTACAGGGCTAGTCTAGAACCCACTAGTAAAGTAAGTACCTCAGCAGATCGGCATGGAGAAGCCGCCAGCGTCCGAGGTTATAACGTAATACCCCGCAAAGAGGAGAGGAGATGTTGTGATCCATCTAGACCCCCTTTCTTGCCCCATCGACCCGTGACCTGCCCGCATTACACTAGTAACCAGGAGGAGCTTCCCTCATGGCAAAAACTCAACTAATTAATTAATTATTGAAAGGCGGTCATATGAACCTAAAAGGTTTGATTTTCCCCGTGGCCGAGAAAAGTCTCTCTGACTGGTTGGTTGAAGTTGACCGGGTGGCTAAACCCGGTTGGGGATGACAAAGAGAAATGGGGAAGAAATCACGACACTCGCCTGAAATGGGTTACAGCTCCACCAGCCCAGGCTTCTCTCCACCGCAACTGCTGCAATTTGTTTCCACTTTGACCACTTCACCTTCCCCAAGAAGTGTGTGTGAGTAAGTAAAAGTAAGTATCACGAATGACTGATCCCGGCACCATCCCATCCAACCACCGCAGATGCCATTACGTACGGGAAATTCCCCCATTCCTCCCTTTCCCCCACAACATTACGTACCGCTCAACATCACGGTGTTAGTTGCTCGTTGTGCAACAAGCAAGGAGTTTCAGGGACATGGGGACTGCCTGTCTCGCTGCTTGGTCTTGGCTGGGGATCGGGCAAGAGGGAATGGTACTATACGGATGTTTTTTTGCTAATCATGAATTCTCAAGGCCCTCTGCTTGGAACAGACGACTATTGGTGATCTATTAAGGAAAATATGGCTTCACTATATACATGCAGTGAGACCATTTCAAACTTTTATTTCACATGCTCGCTGTCTCCAGTGGCCTCTCGTGGGCAATTCAAACAAATGCTCTGGGGTCCGGGGTATTTTCGGGTCGCTGACAAGGGGAAGGACTCCATAAACGGTGCAAACTTTTCCTGAACCAAACGGCGTCTCCAGTCTCCGGGACGCTCAATCTCCTCGCCCATATCACTGCGGTCGGATTGATACTCCTGGCTATTCCTCCGACTTTGTGGGTAGACACCTCTCCGACTGGGCTTGTAGGGCATAGGTAAGGGTGACTTGGCCTTCTGTTGCTGCAAGCGTTTGCGAGACCGTTGCAGCTTATCTAGCCCTCGCGCAATCTCATCCTTATTTCCCTTGAGAGCGTCACTGAACTGGAAGCCGAAGATTGGGTTCACGTGTTCAGGATCGTCCTCAGGATAGGCGTAGTGGTAATTGTAGTCCCGCTGATGTCTATCCTCGCGCCGGATCTCCGCTTCAGTGCGAGGCCGCTGAGGAAGCAAGTGGATGAGATTGCATACATAGAGGGGGAAGTCGTTGGGCGAGAGGCGGAAAAATAAGCGCCCGGTATCGTTGGGATCAATGCGCGACTGGTCCCGTTGTCGAAGGGTATCACGGGCATGGTGGAAGCTGATGGGGTTGGGAGTGGCAGCCTCCTGATTCGGCTGTGCAGATGCCAGGGTCCCCGCCGAATACTCGAAGAATTGTCTGGGGTTTCTTTCCCCCTCGTAGATGACGAGTTGCATGCCCTTCAACTTTAACCGATCCAATTCTAGGAGTCCGCCATCCCAGAAGGTGTCCCTCCAGGTTTGCTCAGCATAGCGGAAGTGGACATCCACAGAAATCGTAGACAAGCCATAGAACGCCAGGCTGATCAAAGAAAGCGTTTCGTTCCATTCGGCCAGATGTGTCTCTACGCTCTGCACCAATGGAATCCGGATTCTGAGATGGGCTATGGAAGCCACCTGCCATGCTTTCAAGGAATAGGTGAAGTTGGCAAAGCTGCCAAGCTCTTGGGTGAAAAAGGTGGCTCGACTATAGGGGAAATGTCTTGCCTCTTCGTATACCTGACGACAGGTGCGAAGGAAGCCGAGACTAAGCGCCGGATTCCTCTCCAGGGATTTGGGGCAAGGATAATGCCCGGAAGCTATGAGTGGACCATGGCCGACGTAGATGTCACGACTGACTGTTTGGCCTTGTTTTGTTTGACAACCCGGATGTGAACAGAAGCCATCCCAGCTATTTCGATTCGTCTGGTCGGCCATAAACTGTCGCCGGGCTTTATACCAGCATTTGTCGACCGGGCACCAGACAGGAATGGCCCTGCGTTGTATTTCACAGACATCGTTATCGTCAAACACCGCCTTATAGATTAGGATCCGGATCTCCGCCGGTAATGATAAGAGGTGTCGCTTGGGGCTTAAGACAGTCAGCAACAACAAGATAAGAAGAGTTGTTGGGAGAAAGTCCCAGGGGATAGCAATGAGCATACCGATCTGGTTCCATGGCTCATTCACAGTATGTTGAAAGTCACGACGAGAAAGGTACGAAGGTTACTATACCCTCTGGGCAGATATGTAGGGACGGGAAGGTGTCTTGAGATAGTAATGATATGATAGTATAGTATATACTACAAGCTAAAGCTACCCAGGCCAGGGGCAGAGTATTAAATAGATTGGAAAGAATAACACAAACCAGCGGTCAAGGAGAAAGAAGCCATTTGGCACAGTGAATGCCCTGAACGAGTTGCAGGAACCAGGCATTATTTATACAATTTCTGACATAATGAATTGATCTTTTTGGGGAAGTAAGAAAGAGCAGAAAATGACGCGATGATCCCATTGTTGCAGCAACTCGGAACTGGAACTCCAAAGGCGGTGGGTATTTTTGGTATCCACCCCCGCTTCCATACTAGTACTAGTACGTACTGAAATTACTAAAAGTAGCCCAATTTATTCCATCCCTCCGGGAGTGAGCCATATTTAGTTGATCGTCCCAACGCCAATCTAACACCAATCACGCTGACCCTAAATGCACACTAACCCCGTAGCTCGTGCACCACCAGTCGCACTATCGTTCGAACTACCATGCGTGGTCGCTATCTCAGCCTTTCTCTCAAACAGGGGTCAACGGTTAGCTTGCTGCTCAGCCTCGTTGCTGGTAGAGAGGGTGTAGTGAACAGCCACAATGGCCTCCCTCCATCTTGAGATAAGGACCATGGACCATGAGGTATAAAGGCGTCATCTAGAACGTCTGGCGGATGGAATCAATAGACTTTTACTTCTAAGCTTTTCAACTCATCTTATATATTTGGTAGAGAATTTTGTTCTTTGCGCTGCTTGTGTCCTACGTACTTGAACCGCAACCACTGAGCAAGCGCTTCCCTTTTAGTTGTCTACTGCATACCCAGCCTGCTCTTGCTGCCCATCCGGCACACAACATAATGACACACCATCTCTCCGACATTCTCGGAATCTACCCAGAAAGCCAATCCTGTGTTGGCTGGGCGCCCTCACAGGGCCGTCACTGCCGCAACCCCACAAACGCCAGAAACCGCCGACATGCAGTTTCCCTTCTCGACCAAGGGACCCGCTTGCTCAAAGCCGGCCGGTCTATTGATCATATACTTGAGGAGTTGGCTCCTCTCGTCCTCTGCCTACGTTATCACCAGAACCAAGCTGCTGGCCTAACTAATACTTGGGTCTCTCGAGTCGATGAATACATCGCTAAACATCGGTCTCCTCCTAGGAGCTCGCCGAGTAGATCGATGCCTCGGCGATCACCGTCACCAAGGATGCGTGATGAAACAAGCATCATAGAGAACAGACTTGCGGAACTCGAAAGAAAGATGCAGGATGCAATTCGTAAGGCAGAGCGAGCGGAGCGGGAGAAAGAGAGGGCGAAGAGAGACGCAGAGCGCACTAGACGGGACACTGAAGACATGGTCAGAAGAAGTGCGGCTATGGGATATGCCCGAGGACAGGAAGAGGCGAGAAGAAGAGCCTCTCCTTCTCCTACTTTTGAAACCGAGACTACTATGGTGGAGCGGAACGAGGCATACGGGTTCCAGAGGAACTCGGAGTCCAGTGGCTTGCTGTCTTCACGGAGGCAGGATGCTCGTGGAGGGAGTGTCGAAACGACATTGCAGGTCAACACTTCTACCAGCACGAACGTGCAACTACGCAGAAGCACCATTGTTAGCACAACCAGGGTCCAGAGGACAAGCGATGGCCCAGCTACTCCTGCTCAAGCTGAACGACGTGCTGCTACTCCGAGCTCTGTGTCCAGAGTTGTTGAGATCGGTGATACCAGCGATGCACTAGCTACTCCATCTCCTGCCCAGCGAAGCAACAACAATGTTACCTCCGTCTCCGACACCACGAGCTCGAGCACAAGAAGAGCAATTAGCCTTCCCAGCGCAGAAACCGAATCTGCCAATACCACAACTACACCCAACAGTGAAGAGCGTCCTTCATCCACAACCACCCAAGAACCCGAATCCACCTCTTCTACAGTAACCTCGGAAACTTCCACTCCAAACCCTCAACTCCCAAGCCCTCCTCCCTCAAACACCGAAGAACCTCGCTCTACCCCCACAGACACTCCAGAATCCACAACCACCCAAGACACCACCACCCAGCCTGCCCCTACCTCCACCTCCACCTCTAGCCCCCAACACCTCCCCACACCCCCCTCAACCCCCCCTCCCTCCACTCCACCCACCATCTCAGAACATGGCATCACCCGCCACCCTATCGAAGGCGACTGCTGCATATGCCTCTGCCCTCTACAGAGATATCCTACCCAATACAGCCATAACCCTGAGGACGACACCTCTATCGTCTGGTGCCAGAAGCAATGCGGAAATAACTTCCACCACGAGTGTATGGATCGGTGGATAGCTTCGGCGCTTGATGGTGATCGGCAGACGAGTTGTCCGATGTGTCGGGGGAAGTGGCAGTGATCTTTCTTTTCTCTTGAGTCGTGATTTTGTTGTTTGGTTGTTTGTTGGGTAGTAGGGTTGGAGTTGGGGTATAGTTTTGGGTGTCATTGCATGAGTTATGATTTATGATGTTATGATTTGATTTGATGTGATGTGATAACCTTGGTTTATTTGTTTGATTATTGGTGTTGGTGTTGGAGGGTAATACAATAGCTTAATGACTACTAGCTCGTTGATACTATTTACTATGATACTTACGAGTTGCATTTTATTTTCGTGCAGTATGCGTGGTAGTATGGGTTCTAAGCTCGTAGGCTATAGATAAAGACTGTATTCCTTCAATTTACCTGTTCGTTCATGATCACTGCTTACTTGCGTAGTGTGTCTATTAGTCTACGGATTACAATGGAGCAGAATGGGAGTTTGAATTTAATAGATGGAATGTCCATTTGCAATAACCATAACCAAAACTGACAATTCACAACAAATATACTGTCAGATATTATCAACCATTTGAACCAATAACTCAAGGTGAAACACCAAATCACATTCTCAGGCTGTCACTCAGCCTGTCACTGATATCATCGCCATCACTCTCGCATGGAAACCCGAAAGATAATCGATTAGCAGTGAAACAGAACGCATGCATCCATGGGTATTTTTGTGTATATATAGTATAAATCAGACCAACAAGAAGACCGAAATATGAACTTGGTAATCGCTGATATCATCGAACCCCCATATACTGCCATCGATGGGATATTACCATCGCTCATCGCACGCAGGAGTCATACCGGATACGGCACCCCAGTACTGTCTTGAATAGCTTCTGTTATAACTTTCAGGATATTGCGACGGTGGGGACTGAAGGACTGTGTTTAGAACATCGTGGCGCGGCAACCTGTACTCGCGGCGGAAAGGGATGCCCGACGTGTCCACCGGGTTATACTGCGAATATTCTGTCCGATGAGTCTTGCGCGGTGCGGATGGTGGAGAATAGCGTTGGGGGATGATCAGATGAGAAGGGGTGCAAGGAAGCAGCGTCGAATACCATTGCTGGTTGGGCGGAGTTGTGGCACCGTTCGATCGGTAAACAGGTGCAGCCTCGCCCTGAATCCCTGCCTTGGTCAATCGGGGGGTTGCCTTGAGATAGCCTGGCTGTTGACTAGGTGGTGGGCTATTCAAGTCGGATACACGCAATGGGGCTTCTTTTGGTCGTGGGGCCCGATGTGGTGAGCTGAAAGGAGAGCCAAGGGGACGGGGAGATTGCACCTGGTCAGTCTCTGTGTCCGAATCACTCGCATACCATGATTGGTTCGCAACAGGTATATCCCCGTAGCTCCCTGACTCTGGACTGCGAATAGGGGTGGAAGGCGGGCGACGAGCACGAAGTTGTTCGTTTGATTTCTTCAGGAAATCTTCATATCCTTCCAGCGTTTCCATCATGCTGATCGGTGGATGGATCTCCGATTCACTACTAGCCAGATCCCTCATCTTCAGAGTTTGGCTGGCAGACATCGGTTTCGGTGCCGGGGTAGGGGTCCCCAGTCGTGGCGGTTGGTTCACATGCACGAAGTTGCCACAACCATCGGGTGGTGTATTCTTCTCATTCAGGCACATCTCCATATAGCTGTGCACAATTGGGACACCTGCGTTTTGACCCTCCAAAACGACATATTCAGAATCGGAGCAGTCAGAACAGTTGGTGTCCACCTTGGCAAGTTTGCCCTCACATGGACGACACTGGTAAAAGGGACCTTTCGGCAGAAGGTCATGGACAGTGGTGACCTTGTGGTCAGGAGGGTTCTTGGTGCCCTCGCGCATTGCATTCATCATATCAACACAGATGTCAAGGCTGAAGTTTGCAATATGGCCACAGTCAGGGTTGTTGTGGAAGGTATATTGGCACATAATGTTTGCTTGGGGTCTGAGGCGGATTTGGCCTTTGTAGGATGCGTTGGAAGATTTGGAGCAATAGTGAACGTCTCAAGCCGTTGCACACATAGGGATTTCAAGGAGGCTTATATGTGTGCGATACGTAGGACGAGACAAAGTAAGAGAGTAATACCATTGCGTTCTTGTGGAGATTCCGATCATGAGCCATAACGTTGTCGGAATTTGGAGCTAGTTGATACGGCATGTTTCTCTCTAGATCGTTCACATTGATGGGACAATTCGAGTATCAATCATCCTCCAATTCTGCATCCAAGTCCGTCAGATATTTGACTCCGGAATCTAACAGCCACCATGCGGCCAGTTCATGAAAGAACCGAAGCACTGGGTTTTCAAGTGGCATTGTGGTGCGCTCTGTTTCATCCGCCTTTGTCCACATTGCAGTTTCACTGGCGAAAACAACGTCCTTGTCCTCATCCCAAAATCGGATCACCAATCGCCCATCCACCCCTTTGTAGGTCATTCCGAACTCGACTTTGTTCGCGGTTCGGTCTAGGACACGGTAGATTCCGCAGATAACATCGCCCTTGTTGAAATCCAGCGAGTCAATATGTGACGTATGGAACGTTGGGCGTTGTGTGGCTGGGCTGATCAGCCACAGCATATAGCACTGAGGAAAGTGAGCGAAGGCTGTCATGTTGCGACGCAAGAGAATGGTCAGGATTTCAGCGTCTTTCTGGCGGGGAAGCAGTTGGCGAGGCACCCGGCGGTTAGCTCGATCGTGGAGAGCATAGTATTCTGGTGTGTAGACTTCGGAGGGTATCGTGGATATGGTGGAAGAAACCGATTTGGAGAGTGTACCGCAATGCGTCTCGTGGTGTATTCGGTTTTTGAGACAACGGTGGAGGAAAGTCAAATATGTGATGGTGCTGAGGGAAGCAGCGAGCACAAAGGATGAAACAGAGAGGAAGGAGGGCATTTTAATTAAATGGTGAGCGCCTAAGGCTCCTTCCGTGCGACCAGCGGCAGATTATTATGAGGGAAATACTAAGTAGTTTGAAGTTACGGAAGCATGCATCTGACATATTTTTGCGACCTTCAAGTGCATCAGTCAATCTTTTAAGAGAAGACTGGAGCTTTCCTATGAACCTTATTCTGTGCTGATGACGATCAACCCGAATACGAGATCCGTTGCCATCTGGACCACTTGCAGTCCCATCATTGGCGCAACTGCTGGTCCCATGCGGATGTGGCCCATCCAAGCCGTGGCAGCTCTTTCATAGTAATACTTGGGTGATTCAGTCAAATTTGTTCCCAGCAATATACAGTTAGTTCTTTTGAGATCACCATGCAAAATCTAGGTGTTGAAATAACATCCAGTTGGGATAATATAATTGGCAAAATTAAAAAGTATGTATTCAGTATATCCTCTCTTCCCATCCAACTAAGACTCTTTACCCTTATGCCAACACAGACCAAGCAATCCATTAAAAAACGCAATCCGTCAGCGCCCAGATCCACCAAAAGCAAGAGCGGGTATCCTTGACGGACGGACAAAAGGCACACAAAGATAAGGAGAACGTGCGTATCAATCGTTGCAGCGACGTAGCCAGCCCGAAATCGTATCCTTTTCATCCTTCCATCCTTCTTTCTCCAATACTCTCGTATCACAGCATCATCGGTCGGATCAGTCACAGGTTCAAGCTTCGACCTCATATGACTGCTTAGCTGCTTTCCGTGCCATGCATTTTCGGTAGATGAAGAGTGCGATGATTCCCACAGCAACGATGAAAACGATGCAGAAAACCAGGACCACGCCCGGGTTCTCGCCGGCCCAGTTGCTTCGTTTGATCACTTGGTGTCGTGCTTCGAGGGCGAGGAGGTCGATAGCGGCCATGATCTACTTCCTATTAGCCTACCACACAGAATTAATCCCCTCAAAGCATGTGCAACTCACGAACAATGACCGCGCGGCTTCGGTGAACGAGGACTGATCAAGACAGATTGAGGATGCCCACGACCTGCAAGAACAACGACACGGGAAGCAGAGATGATATGACACGAGGAGAATAAAGAGAAGGGAAGAGTTGGACGGGCGGATGAACAACCCTGGTTACTGGTAGGACTGGCTGCATCGGGAGCAGCGGAAGGTCATGACAGCAAGGATCGCAATGACGTGAAGGAGGGCACATGCATGCAACGCTGGATGGGCTGGTCCACGAAGCTTATTTCTGACAGGAGGGTAACTTGGTAAGCCGAACTCGGGACGCTCAAGGGTCAATCAACACACAACAGCTCGAGTTGAAGCCATTCATGGTAGTCAATTGGCGCGGCAGCACTCTAGACAGGGAGGTGTGTAATCTCCCCACCTCCAGTTACACAGAAGCCATTCGCAACCGTCAATGCCCATTCCTAACGCTTCCTCCCCAATCTGCATGCCATATAACGCGTATCGCGATGCCTGACCAAAAGGAACAGTCATGAAATCAATTGTGATCAAGGTTTGGCGATCCGCTCGTCCCGCTGGCGTCACCACTCTTTCACGGCCATGGTTCCCTACCACCGCCCGGCCTCCCGATTCGTGCCCGGCTGCAGTGGATGCAGGGTAAATGAGTCGTGGACAGGAGAATCGAGGATTCATCCATAAGCTCCAGCTCCAGCTTTGTTGATAGAAATTCTAGAGAACAGGCCCCTTCTCGTGTTCGCCGGAGGAACATCCTTGACGTCATACATTCGGTCCGCGCTCTTATCTAATCGGCCCCTTCCCAGCATCGCTGATGCAACGAGACATGGATTTACTATTCGCTGGACTCGGAAGAGCTTGGGAGAGCCAAAGAATCCTTCCGGAATCAATGTCCTTGGACGCCAGAAGATTATACTGTAGAAAAGATCCAGGGTCCAGCCATTAGGGTTGAAATAAACGGTCCCACTTGGGTCCAGTTCTCGTAGTGCGACCTATCATGGCTGATTAACGGGCCCGCAGAAGAGATGATCAGCAGTTCGAGATAGAGACTGGGAGCTTGCGACCGCCTCAGAAATTGCCCAATCGGGTACTTGTGCTTCAGCCATAGAGATCCCGGTTTCAAATGTCCAATTCATTCTGCCACATGCGAGTATGCACAGAGGTACTACAGTGAAGTAGTGTAAGTGCTTGGACAATGTCCCTTCGGTCATGTGAAGCTCGCAAAACCAACTAAGTTTAGATCTCAAGGCAGAAGCGTAAGCTTGAGAATGACCTAGAGGTTGGTTTCCTTCTAACATGTTGTGTTAGAATGCTTATTTCCCATAGGTTAAGCATCAAACATTCATGCCTATACGCAGACAATAGAAAGGTAAACGTTTCCCAATTATCACAACTAATATCCAAGGGTACGGTAATAGACTCATAGTGGTATCACATGAAACACGCGGAAAAAAAAGGCATAGGCAACAGCATAATAAACCCCCATTACTTCTTCGAGCCAGGCTGATGCACATCCGTCCGTCCACTGTTATGCCATGTAGCCAACAAGGCACCACAATTTCCGCAGTAATGACATTGGTTTTTCAGCGACGACATCATATACGGAATACATCCCAGACACAGGCAGCAGCAGAGCACTGCAGCCCAAGCACTATGAACACATTATTAGTCTGGTCCATTATCGTGAAAACTGTGCACACATACTGAGTTGAACTGCCCGTTTCTGCCTCCACGCGAGTCATTTTCCGCTCTCCACAGGCCGGACAGTCGACAGGTGCTGGCGTTTTCTGCAGTGCATACAGTGGAGTCGGAGTATTATAGCCGCTCGGGTGTTGGGAGCCTGCATAGAAGGTCTGCTGGGGCTGATGCGGTTGGATCTCAGGCGTCTGTTCGGTGGGAGGCTGCGCATATGCAGGCATTTCTTTGGAGGAAAGCTCGTGGGTTTCCGTCTGTTGTTGTTCCTCGTAGGTAGGAACTGCTGCTGGTAGTAAAGTTAGTGGAGTACATGATGCATTTCCTTCTAGGGTGAACGCACGAGGGTTTGCTTTCTCGGCCATTGTGAATAGTGAATAAGTACGGGTTGAGCTTTGAGTAAATGTCTTCAGATAGTGTGTAATTCAGAGAAAAAACATCTTAGTTATTTCCATCCCCGGGCGCATTCTTATAGTTGTACTAATTTAGATTTGGAGGCTCAAAGCCTCGTCCGAGCCAACGCCTAGAATTATTTGTGGAACGCATCGCGAGCCAACTTGGATACGAAACAAATTCTATTTGCTCGTGCTCCGGTGACCTTCTGGGGATGAGACACACATCGATCAATCATTTGTGGGAAGGAGATCCACGCGATTGGCAGGGGGGATGAAGTGGCCGTTGGGCTCGCGGGACGAGGCTGAGATTGCGCCTAATTACTAGTAGTTCTAGGCAAACATGGTCTGGGGAAAGGCTCTCACGCGAGAGGCTCAGGTAGGGGCGGGGAACTCTGGGCATTCCTTCGTGGCTAGGATTTCAGGGCAGTGCCTTCTTGATCTGCAGTGTACAAGGGTAGCCTTGTGAGTTGTGGCAGGGAAAGGTAAAAAATACGAGGGGCGCTGCCACGGCCAAGATTGTACCAAACTGAGTCCCAAGAATGACGGGCGCTCATCCTTCAATTTAGTTTGAACTTCTGAAACTTGGCGAGGTCATGAGTTGGTCGATTGGAATGCTTTGACGTAGTTTCCTCCGATTTTACCCTGTGATGTCTTTGATGGTTTCGAAAAGTTGGATAACCTCATCAGTGGTATGATTCTCGGTTCTGCTTTCCGTTTGCTGGTGTTTGCTTCGATATCATCCACATATCTGATTTGGGGGCCATTTGCTGGGTTTGAACAAAAGAAAGCTCCACCCACAACGTAGCAGTGAGTGAGACAGCACAAGCTAGGATAGTTCCTGCCATTACTCATCGGAAGTTAATTCCTTGTGATCGACACTTGCCTTCCCCTTTGATCTCTCTCTCTCTCTCTCCCTCTCTCTCCTCCATGAACGAACACATTAATCATTCTCTGCACCTCACTCCTCCGGTTGAATGAAAACAAGATGAATTTGTTCCTGAAACTGTTCACCACTGTATATACAGTTTGACGGGTCAGCTGCTTTGAATGCCATTACCGGGCTACAGCAAGTTTACTCTGATGAGACGCGTTTCCATACCTTAGGGCGACGCTTTACCCGTCGGTTGACGATGCTTTGGCGAAGCTCACTCGGATTAACCTGCCGAGGTATGCAGTAATTCCCTGTCTACTCCGGCAAGTGAGTTGTTCTTTTTGACTGGCGGAAACCCCTGTGCTGACTGCGACCTTGATCCCATACAGCCAGGCCACAGAAGATGTCATGGCATCCGGCCAGCAGCCGGAGCAATCTTGCGTCCCTGGGTGCATCCGTATCCAGAGCTACGGTAGTTTGAACGATGTACGTTTCAAAACGTGCCAGGACTTATCTCCCCTACTCGGTCAGATGTTCGTCACTGGCCGGTCGGGGCCCTGCGTGGTTTTATGAGTCGTGTCCAGCTCTCTTCTACAGTGAAGTCTGCGCGTTGCGCGTCTGGTTGGTTGTTGGATATTTCAAAAAGTCCTCGAAGGCTGCCCGAGCACAATCATTGTATTCTGTACTTCAGACTCTTAGGTCTTTTTGTTCTCTACTGGACATTCTAGGTAGGCATTCAACCTTGGTCATTCTGAGATGTCTCTGCACATTCTGGTTTTCCTGATCTAATGGTGAAATTAGGTGGTATGGGGTTTCTCGTAATGTTAAGGTTGATCTCAGACCATGGTGTGGAAGATACAGGATTCAACTGAATCCGTCAAAACACCTTTGTATATCAAGTAATCCTAGGTCGCTATAATTGATACTGGTCTTTGCGAATTCAACGTTGACGTTTCTACTTGGCTCATGATTGAGCTGCTGAATCTCGGCCCTGATATTTGCTGCGTGTCTTTGTGCTCCCTAGGCACGTTTTTCTTCCTATACTTCGATGTCTCAAATGATACAGGAGGCTTGCGCAATCTACCTGCATGGCGGCATAGCTCTAGGTGAGTAGACCTAATGGAAGAAAACACACATGCGGTGAGGTATTTACCAACATGGTTTCAGGTTGCTCTCTCCGGTCGGCCACTTCGTACAGTTAGACCCCAAAGCCAATCGAAACATGCTGTATGGCACATTCATGTATACTCACCAGTGCATGCTGTTTATGATGCTGACGGTCGCTTACGCCACACTAGTACCTATGCAAGCTGCTTGCTTTCCGTCTGCTGAACACTCCAAGCCTAATTTCTGTACGCATTACGACCTGAACGACAAATGACCAAATAGCGTAAGTTATGTATTTGCTAACCTGATATCTCCGATGCATGGACGCTATTAGCGGATAATGCTTGTGGTTTATGCTGTAATTTGGGCCCAAGCACCCATAAATTTCATCCCATGCGAGCAATGTTCTACAGCCACAATTACTGCTGTTGCCGTCTATTTTTCATGATAGCATGATAGATATCAGCAGCATCATTTTACCGTCAACAATAGCGATGGATCGGAAAGTGGGCGGGACTGTCAACGGACCTGCCGATCATCAGCTCGTGATACCTCATAGTATCGGCTTCAACAACGACCGACCGAGCGCCAGAACAATTCGGGGGTCCCTCCCTCGGGGCAAGGGTTTCGGAGCATGTCCCAAGCTCGGAGGAGATATGTGTAAAGGTGATGCGACTAGCAGTGTTCAGGGTCCACCAGCAATTGTGTTGATCGGACCGCCTCCGAACCCCCCACGGTATCCCCCACGTCCTCGGACTTCACAGCGACCCATTTCCCCTCCATAAATGGTGTCGATCCACGCGACAAAGATTACAGCTCAAGAAGCTAAAGCGCATATTTGGAATTGAAGATGTCTAAACCAGCCATTGGCTTTGTCGGCCTCGGGGCCATGGGCTTCGGCATGGCCACCCACCTTGTCCACGAAGGATACCCTGTTTACGGCTACGATGTCTTTCCAGCCTCGGTGCAGCGATTCCAGGCTGCGGGGGGCACACCCGCCTCCTCGCTGCGTGAATCAGCGGAAGGAAAGTCTTTCTACGTCTGCATGGTAGCATCTGCGCCACAGGCGCAGACCGTCCTCTTCGGAGATAAGGGCGTTGTGCAATGTATGTACCTCCCTAGCTAGCCAGTGATTCCCTCGAGCTAACATAATAGACCTCCCCCAAAATGCAACCCTCCTCCTTTGCTCCACCGTCGCCGCCTCATATGCGCAATCTGTCGCTGCAGAACTCGCCTCTCGAGGTCGATCAGATATCCACTTTGTTGATGCGCCAGTCTCAGGAGGTGCGAAGCGCGCCGCGGATGGCACCCTCTCCATCATGGCGGGTGGCTCCGACTCTGCGCTGCAAATTGCGCGCGATTTGCTGCAGACTATGTCTGCCCCAAGCAAGCTCTATCTTGTCCCTGGAGGAGTGGGAGCCGGTAGTAACATGAAGATGGTACATCAGGTGCTGGCTGCCATCCACATCTTGGGTGCCAGCGAGGCTATGGGTTTCGCGGCGCATCTGGGCCTGGACGCAGTGAATACAGCAGAACGGATCAAGAGCTCAGAAGCGTGGACCTGGATGCATGAGAACCGTTTTCCTCGGATGGTGGAGGAAGATTGGAATCCTGGGGCGAGTGCTCTGACAATCATCTTGAAGGATGCCGTAGGCTGCACCTGCCCCTGCCATTACCATGCGTACTGACCTTATCAGGGCATCATTACTACCTCAGCGCGTCAGAACAACTTTCCAATTCCACTCTGTGCGACTGCAGAGCAGATCTATCTCTCCGCTCTTATACAAGGTTACGGCCCCAAGGATGACTCCGCTATGATCCGCCAGTACTACTCGCATCCACTCAAAGACCTCGATACTTCCTCAGCAACCGAGGATCCAGAAGCCGCTATACAGCTCGTGCTTGACCTCATGCAATGCGTCAACCTTGTCGCGGCTGCAGAAGCCATCGCTTTCGCACGGTCACTAGGTGTCGATATGGCGCAATTCTTCGAACTTGTCAGCGACGCAGCGGGTGGAAGCAAGGTATTCGTCACGAGAGGACTGGAGATGATTGAGGGTAAAATCGGCGCACAGGCACCAGCTGGCTCAGAAACTCTGGATGCGGTGGTAGGTCGGTTAGAGAAAGTGGTGCAGAAGGCGCGGGACATGCACTGCCCGCTCCATCTCGGCAACGCAGCACTGAGCGTATTATTGATGTCCAAGGGCCAAGGGTATGGTTCGGAGGCCAGCACCAGCGTAATCCGTGTTTATCCGTAGACTTAGCCGCCGAAATAATCAGAATTTAATATCATCAGGAATGATCTCATAAGGGTCGGAGCAACTCCGGCTGTAAATAGTGGAGTCAACATCAACCATTCCGTCGCGACAGAACTATAAGACTACCCTTCACACATACTCACACAACTAATCTACTTCTCCAATACCCCCATTCATCACTTATATCCCCTTCCTCTCAACCAAAACTACCACCACCACCACCACCATGCCCCTCCCCAACAACCGCGCCCTCCCCATCCTCGACCACGCCTACCAGCACCACTACGGCGTGCCCGCCATGTGTTGCTACAACCTAGAAGGCATCCTAGCCACAGTCCGCGCCGCCGAAAAGCACCGCTCCCCAGCCATGATCCTCCTCTTCCCCTGGGCTCTCCAATACGCCGGGTCCATCCTCGTGCACGCCGCCGCCGAAGCAGCCCGCAACGCCTCCGTCCCCATAACCGTACACCTGGACCACGCACAAACCCCCGAAATAGTCCGCCAAGCCGCAGACATCACCCCCGGATTCGACAGCATCATGATCGACATGTCACATTACGAGAAAGCCGAGAACCTCTCGTTAACGCGCGAACTCGTCGCCTACTGCCACGAGCGGGGCATCGCGACAGAAGCCGAGCCCGGGCGGATCGAGGGCGGGGAAGACGGCGTCTCGGACACTGCAGACCTGGAGGGGGTGTTGACGACCCCCGAGGAGGCGGAGGAGTTCGTTAACA